TCTTCAGCTAGTGCCATCCATGACTTTCCTCTTTTCAACTGGTCTTTTCTTAAATTGTTCAGATTACCATGCAGTGGATGTCTTTCATCATTGGTAACTCGGATATAGGTCTCGGCTTGCCCCAGTGACAGTCTACACTTTACCGATGTCAGCCCAAGCATGAACCTCATTGTTCTAATTGGGGTGTCCTGTGTGCAACCCAAGATGATTCTCATTCCTTCATTTTGAATCCTTTCAAGCTTTTTTCACTGTTAAGTAGATAAGGTTAATATTCCTAGGCCATAATCGATTGCAGGAAGGACCAAATGGTTGAACTGTAAGATCAATAATCTCTGTTCCATCGTGTTCAGTGCCGCGAGGCCACGCTTTCATTTGATCACAGTCTGCTCCCCGTGAAATCTGTAGGACAGACTGTGATCAAATGTCAATCTTAAGTATTTAAACTTATCTCTTCTTTCAACATTTATACCCTTCATGGATATGTTGGGCAAGACTTCCTTCCCAGTGCTATTATTCAAAGAGCACCACAAAACACTGGCCTTCTCTGGGTTTACTCTTGACCCTGTCGGTTCACACCACTCCGTCATCTCATGCAAAGCACTCTGCAAGTCTGTGGTCATGTCATGCCTGTCTGACCCGTTTCGATACATCATCTGCAAATGTCAAAGTTCGTCCTGATCCAGTGGGCTGAATTTTTGCCAGACTTGCTGTTAAACAAAACAGGTGACAATGGTGATCCCTCAGGAAGGACGGTGCAAATGCATATTAGATCTGATCTCTATGTTCCCAAACGAAATACCACCATTCTTTCCAACCATGATGCCTGCATCCATTGCATAAGATATGTAAGGTCAATGCTGTTATAGGCATCTTCAAGATCTGTGAGTGTGCTCAGGACACAAGCTTCATAAACTTTAATTTTGGTCCTATCCGTACGCTGTTTGTTTGACCACCCACTTGTGAGTTTGGAAAGCATTGAAGCCTATCATAATCATTTGTTTAGTTCTGCCTCTTGGAAAAGGAAAAGATCCTTCACGATTCGAGAGCCTAAGTATTCACACTCATGTACAGCCAACAGGTCATGGTTGTAAACTCTAATGCTTGGTGGGTTTTCCACATTTATCCCCATCACTTGCGTCTTGTTGAGACTGATGGTGAGTCAAAATTCTTTGCATGCATTTGCAAAGTGATTGATGAGAATCAGCTGATCTTTTTCACTATGTTTAGTAATTTTTGCATCATCTACAAAGTCTCTGAGCCATCTTGTCTGCACTCTAGTCCTTGCATGAAGCCTAGACCGATTAACAAGGTTGCCATCTGACCTCGTACGGAGATAAATCTCTTCAATGGCTGTTCCAAAATCACATCGAAGCAGCTCAGTGAAGAAAAGGCCAACAAATGTGGGAGCCAGAACACAACCCTACTTTACTTTTGGCCATTACGAATCTGAAAAGGTGCAGATGATGAATCTTCATTCAAGACAGTTCTATTCATATTCTCATAAAAGATTCAATGACTCACAGTAGTATGGATGGGTAGCCATATTGTCAAGCCTACAAATATGTGTTGATCTTTTTTTGGCTAATTCAGTTTTTAGTCTGAAGCTCTGCCTCAACTTTTTATGTTATCCATTGAATTTAACATTTTTATTTTAATCTGTAGTCAAAGGGCATTCATAATGTTGGCTTAGCCCATTGTTTGACCAGATGTAGTGCCAGTTAGGATGTGAAAGACATTATACACAGCCTATTTGGCATGTTGTTTATATTGCTTTTTTTTAAAAAACTTCCAGTGTGCATCCAGAACTGAGCAGTTCCATCGTTAGTACTTTGATGATTTCAAAACGGAAGGGTGAGAAATTACGTTTGCTTCCTTCATTTGTTATTGACAGCTCGATATAGGTAAAATCATGGTAAAGGACCTTTTTCTACAATTTGAGACGTATTTAGTTTATGACAGCCAGCTGCATATTTGTATAATAGACCAGTCGGCACTCAGGAGGTGATATAGTGAATATTAGGCCAGCCTACTTTACATCGAAGAACAATTCCTGGAAACCATTTTAGGTGGGTTTGATCTGTGCCAGTTTAATCTCTGTCTGAGTAAGCTTAAAATGCTTGACAAGCCGGCATGTGTTTTAGCTACTGCATTTTCACAATAGCTTGCTCATGATAATTCTTTGCTCATGTCATGAGAAGAGACAACCGCAGTACATTGCTGGTGAGAGACGATGCTGAACAGTTTCACATCATGGCAAGGAGGATCATCTGTGTCAGATTTATTCAAAGTACATGAGTCAAGGGTGTGGATAGACATGACTACCAATGCAACATGGCATGGACTATAAGAAGAAATAATAAATTCATTCTGTGGCAATACTAGTCCTAAATTCCTTTGCAGTCACTCCACTGTCATGGGCTGTAATTCTCATGCCTTTATGTAGCACAATACAACTATCATCTGGAAAGACAGAAGGTTGCAAAGTAATTTACTAACCAAAAAGATGTGATTGAAATAACTGTAGTCATTAACCAGAAAGTGAGATGATTTGGTAAGATGTTCATCGTCATCAAGAAGCAGGTCCTTTGCAGAACATCGCTCTCAGCATGGTCTGCCTGAACAAAACTTGGTCTTTTGTCAGCTGTCCCGCCTCATGCACTTTCATATTGAAGTCACTGATATCCTGTGCCCATCTTCATGTTGGTCAGTCCCTGCCCCTCCTTCCTGGTACCATGCCTTTTGCTATTGTTTTTTTTCCAATCCATCGTGGCGCTTGATATGCCAAATTATTTCAGCTTCTGAAACAAGATACCAAAATATTTCACCTTCTGAGACCAGATGCTGTTTATTGGCCAATCTTCCTTGATGTTCAAGACTGTCAATATTTTCTTTCTTCTTTGTCCGTGGTATTTTGTGAATCTGACTATAGCATTTCAGCTCAAAAGCCCCTATTTTCTTCCCTAATTAAAGACTATCTGAACATCAAGGAAGATTGGCTAATAAACAGCATCCTTTCTCGAAAGCTGAAATATTTTGGTCATATCAAGCGCCATGACGGATTGTAAAAAATTATAGCAGAAGGCATGGTACCAAAAAGGAGGGAACGAAGATGGGCACAGGATATAAGTGACTCCTTGAGTGTGAAAGTTCATGAGGCGGGAGAACTGGCAAGAGACCGAGTTTCTTACAGGCAGTTTGTGATGAGAGCGACGTTCTGCAAAGGACCTGCTACATGATAATGAATTAAAGACTGGAAGATTGTCCATGAGTCACATCCATATGTTGCTAGAGGGAAGATGCATGCTCTGAGAATTTTAACTTTGATTTCCTTGCTGGTGCTTAACAATAGAATAGACTTTTCATCATCATCAATTTTCACTTCTGCCATTAAACGTGGGGAGAAACAGTTTGTGATCCATTGCTTCATAGGCAGCAGTGGCCATTGTCAGTCAGGATGTCGAAGCTCTTTAATGTCATCAATCCATATTCTTCAAGGGCAGCTTCTTGCTTTAATTTCTGATCTATTCATGTGTAGTGCCTGTGTTGGTAGCTGTTCTATCTGCATTCTTACTAGATGACCAAATCATTTGATCTTGTTTTTCAGTGAATTTGCTGCATGGTGTTGTTCCTACTGGGTATCTCATTATATCATTTCTAACTTTGTCTCAATTTGTTAAATTACTCAGGCATCTCATTTCACAACTGTTGATTGTGCATAGGTTAGCCTTTGATACTGTTCAAGTCTGGCACTAGTAGCACAGTGTTAGTAAATGCTGTTTATCATCTGTTTCTTGGCACTTATACTAATGTTTGGATGTCTTAAAAAACGGCTTCACTTGGTATATAAGTGCACTGGCTAGTTGGCATCTTGTTTCTGATCTCTTCTTCTCTGAGAATATACTTCCTAGATATTTACATTCTTTAACTTGCTTCAGACACATGCCATTCAACCTGATGTGTAGTGGGCTAGGAATTCTGCTGACATGCAGTGCTTCACTTTTAGTAGTATTTATTTTCATGTTATATCTTTTTCTAGTTTATTGTATGTGGATCTAATTCTTCCTCTGGATTTTCTGGATGCTTTAAAGCTGGTTTCTTTGGATATTCTGTCAGTGTATATAGTAAATTAGAGAGGAAACAGCACACATACCTGCCTCACCACAGTATTGATTGTAGACATATCAGATATACTACTTATGTTATCACTACGCTTTGGGAAGTGAGGTGGCTATGATGTTATCTAGCAATTGTCCTTGTATTTCATAATCCTGAAGGAAAGCCCATAGTTTGTTTCTGTCTACTCTATCCAAAGTTTTTTCTTTATCTACAAATACAGTATTAACTTCATCATTATATTCAGTGGTTTTCTCACAAATTTATCTTAGTGTGCAACCTTTTCCTTTCCTGAAACCAAACTGTGATGTACTTAGGTGCTGTTCCGGTATAGTCTATATCTCTGTTCTAATAATTTTGCATGAACTTTTCCTATTTGGCTCAAAAGTGATATGCCTCTCAATGAGGCTGTACAGTTTCTTGTATGACTTTTCTTTTTCCAAATAGATATCATTAATGCCTGCTGCCAGTCAAGTGAAACTTTCTTTTCTTCCCATGCTGCATTAACAAAGTTTTTGTTAGCCATTTGATGCCAGTTTGGCCACCTGCTTGAATAGCTTCTTTAGTTACTCCATCTTAACCAGGTGCTTTGGTTTTACGACTATTCTGTGTGACAACTTTTCTTCTGATGTTTTTTTTTGTCAGTCACTGCTTTTGACCACAAAACTGATATCTACCTTGATTTTAGGGTTGAGTAGCTCTTTAAAATATTCTGCATATCTTCTTACCTTTGATTTAAATTAAATACATGACTTTTAATGCTGTTTCATCTTGGCCCACAGAAGCAATGTTAACTCCAAAATGTTTAGAGCCAAAGTTTACTGCCGCAGAATAAGGAGGCCCAGCTGAGATCATACCAGGTGCACCTGAAGGACAACATCAGATCAATGTTTGACAATTTTACTGAAATCATTAAGCTGGCTCGCGTAAGTGACAAGGTATAAGACACCCTTTTTTTACTCTCCGTTCTCTCACACAAGCTGTCTAACCTGTTGCTGGGGAGCCTTTGGACGGTGGAGGATTAACACAAACATTTCTCAACATTTTAACTGCTGTTACAGTCTTCTGTATGCTCAGGTAAATTAAGTCAATTTTTAACCATATGTGTCCAAGTTTGAAAATCATGGGCGAGGAAAGAAATGGGTCACAGTGTGAGCAGCAGTCAAGACTTGTGTCTGGTTCTGCTTACATTGGGAAGGGAGTGCAGGGGCTGGCCAGTGGGCACTACAGAATCAGAAGTTCAACAATTGATTTATGACAATTCCCACCCAGCTGATGTGATTATCTATACAGATGGCTCTGTGTTGAGAGTTAGACAAAGTGCATGGGGGTTCATAGCAAAAGCGAATTGAGATTGCTTAGTGCAAAGCCTGGCATATGCTACCACAACATCATGTTTCAGAATGGAGGTCGAGGCAGCATTCCGCGGGCCTGAGAACCAGCTGTACACACCTGTGGTAATTGTAACTGACTCGCAGAGCGTGTTTAGAAAGATGGAGACAGGTATGCTCAATGCAGCGTGGCAAGCATTGCTTCAGAGGTTTCAGAGGTATATTTTCTCCAGATGGTGTCGGTGTGAACAGGCAGATAGACTGGCTGGTTCTGCACAGACTGGCTGGTTCTGCACAGACTGGCTGGTTCTGCACCACTGGCTGGTTCTGCACAGACTGGCTGGTTCTGCACCACTGGCTGGTTCTGCACCACTGGCTGGTTCTGCACAGACTGGCTGTTTCTGCACAGACTGGCTGGCTCTGCACAGACTGGCTGTTTCTGCACAGACTGGCTGGCTCTGCACAGACTGGCTGGTTCTGCACCACTGGCTGGTTCTGCACAGACTGGCTGGTTCTGCACCACTGGCTGGTTCTGCACAGACTGGCTGGTTCTGCACCACTGGCTGGTTCTGCACAGACTGGCTGGTTCTGCACCACTGGCTGGTTCTGCACAGACTGGCTGGTTCTGCACCACTGGCTGGTTCTGCACAGACTGGCTGGTTCTGCACAGACTGGCTGGTTCTGCACAGACTGGCTGGCTCTGCACCACTGGCTGGTTCTGCACAGACTGGCTGGTTCTGCACAGACTGGCTGGCTCTCTGCACAGACTGGCTGGTTCTGCACAGACTGGCTGGTTCTGCACAGACTGGCTGGTTCTGCACAGACTGGCTGGTTCTGCACAGACTGGCTGGTTCTGCACAGACTGGCTGGTTCTGCACAGACTGGCTGGTTCTGCACAGACTGGCTGGTTCTGCACAGACTGGCTGGTTCTGCACAGACTGGCTGGTTCTGCACAGACTGGCTGGCTCTGCACCACTGGCTGGTTCTGCACAGACTGGCTGGTTCTGCACAGACTGGCTGGTTCTGCACAGACTGGCTGGTTCTGCACAGACTGGCTGGTTCTGCACAGACTGGCTGGTTCTGCACAGACTGGCTGGTTCTGCACAGACTGGCTGGTTCTGCACAGACTGGCTGGTTCTGCACAGACTGGCTGGCTCTGCACAGACTGGCTGGTTCTGCACAGACTGGCTGGCTCTGCACAGACTGGCTGGTTCTGCACCACTGGCTGGTTCTGCACAGACTGGCTGGCTCTGCACAGACTGGCTGGTTCTGCACAGACTGGCTGGTTCTGCACAGACTGGCTGGTTCTGCACCACTGGCTGGTTCTGCACAGACTGGCTGGTTCTGCACCACTGGCTGGTTCTGCACCACTGGCTGGTTCTGCACAGACTGGCTGGTTCTGCACAGACTGGCTGGTTCTGCACAGACTGGCTGGTTCTGCACCACTGGCTGGTTCTGCACAGACTGGCTGGTTCTGCACCACTGGCTGGTTCTGCACCACTGGCTGGTTCTGCACAGACTGGCTGGTTCTGCACCACTGGCTGGTTCTGCACAGACTGGCTGGCTCTGCACAGACTGGCTGGTTCTGCACAGACTGGCTGGCTCTGCACAGACTGGCTGGTTCTGCACAGACTGGCTGGCTCTGCACCACTGGCTGGTTCTGCACAGACTGGCTGGCTCTGCACAGACTGGCTGGCTCTGCACAGACTGGCTGGCTCTGCACAGACTGGCTGGCTCTGCACAGACTGGCTGGCTCTGCACAGACTGGCTGGCTCTGCACAGACTGGCTGGCTCTGCACAGACTGGCTGGTTCTGCACAGACTGGCTGGCTCTGCACAGACTGGCTGGTTCTGCACAGACTGGCTGGTTCTGCACAGACTGGCTGGTGAATTAATGCATGACAAACTAGATGTTAAAGAGGTATTTTTGGAGTGAGTGAACAGTGGGGAGGCACAAATAGATCATCACAGTCGGAGAATGGTGTTGCGATGAGTGGCCTTGGGACTGGCCGACACAAGGGAAAGGTGAGAGAGATATACAGTAAGACTGTGACTGGTGCCATTGGATCCTTTTGCTTCTTATCTATGTGTATCATATGCTTCATTACATAAAGATTGGTAAGGCCAAACAGTTGGGAGACTGTCTCATGCATTGGGTAAAATGAGTTCTTATCCTCAATATGACATTTTAAATAGAAAATGTATATGTGGTACTAAGTGAGCCTGTGGGCTACATTTTTTTCTTTTGTCTGGCCCTAATTTCCTGATAAACATAAACCGCCAGCTAACTAGTAATACACCTATTAGCCCTGTTGCCCCGAGGCTAAATCTAGTTACTTCCGGTTGTGACAGCCCACCATTTCTGCAGTTTCTTACTTACTTACTTACTTAATCGCTCCTCTTCTACCTTGGGGTGTAGAGGTTTGCCAGAGAGATCGCCAGACGTCTCTATCAGCAGTTTTCTTTCTGGCTTTGTTCCATTCCAGTCCTCTGTCAGTTAGGGACTGACGGATGTTGTCTTCCCAACGCACCCTGGGTCGTCCTGGAGGTCTGGTTCCCTGGTTCTTAGCCTCCCATGCCTGCCATGGTGGCCGATTTTCTCCCATTCTGCATACATGTCCAAACCACCGTAACTGTGACTGATCCACTCGGGTTTGTAAGGACTGGGTATCAAGATCTTGATGTATTGTCTGATTGCGGACTTTGTCCCTTCTTGTCACTTGGACCACCTTTCTCAGATATCTCTTTTCCGAGGCTTGCAGCTGGCTTCTGTGAGCTGTTTCTGCAGTTTCCTGTTCTCAAAAAGCGTAGCAGAATGTCATTGGTTCTTGTTTACCTGCGTAGTATTTGAGAGGCCTAGAAGTGAATATATTGACTAAATATAGCATTAGAGGGGTTTCCTTATAAATCGGTAATATGGTCACAGATTACCTGATACCTATTTGTAGTAGGCGCCGGGGAATGCATTCCATTTAGTGCTTGACTTTGTTCGTTCTTGTTCTTTGATTACTGCCGGTAATACCTCTTTTTGCTTTTCAGTTTATTAATTACCTTGTAAAATAGTTTTTTTTAAAGGGATTTTTTGCTGTTTTTATGTTTGATTGTGGATATCAGATTTGTTGTGTTAGTTTACATGTTTGATTGTGGATATCAGATTTGTTGTGTTAGTTTACATGTTTGATTGTGGATATCAGATTTGTTGTGTTAGTTTACATGTTTGATTTGTGCTTGATGTGCTTCTTCTCTTATAATTGTTTGTTTGGCTTTTTAAAAAATAATTTTTGACTGTACTTGTAATGTATTTTATTGGCACCTGTGGCTTCAACGTTGTGAATGTGTTTGACTATACTGAGCTGCTCATTTCAATTCCAGCTGTGGACGATTTGGCAGCAGACCGCCCTGCCTTGATTTCGACAGTGGTATCAAGAACCCGTTCAGAAAGCAGTGGCCAAACTACTGAGCATATAATTGCCCAGTAAAACCACACAGCCAAGCTGCAATGTCCTGTCAAGGATACACAGCTAACTTAATATTTTTCATGCCATGAAATATTAATTTGGTCAAGTCAATAATTTTGTTTGACTTGTTTGTTATTTTCTAAGTTTGGTTATAAGTAGTTTACAGTTGAGAGTAATTTTCTTGTCAGATGTTTCATTGGTTTATTTTTTATTTTGCCAATATCTGATGTAGATTGAAGAAGATGGACAACTACTGAGACCAACACAGATTGATCAGGACCACTATGAGATGCAGATAAGGGCTGCAAATATTGTGAGTATTTCTTCGGTCATTATCTGCTTTTTTGCTGCCAGATTTTGCAGTTGAAGAGATGATAGGTTCCCAAGCCAGGGTGTCCTTGGTATGCTGTGATATTGTGAAGACTCAGGCTGTCGGTGACTTCTTCATTCTTCAGAGTCTCTTTCTCTCTGTCTGTGTTTCCATTTTCATGCTAAATGCTCTCTCTCTCTCAGAATTGTCTGATTTATTCTCACTTTGAGCAGTTTTAATGAACACAAAAATGAATACCTTATGTCTGCAAATTTGTGGCATTGATATTGAATGAGCACAGGCCTGTCCAGTCAGATCAGCAACCATGTCAGGCAATATTAATTTGTAGGTGCTGCGGAGGAACCAGCAGAATACTGTAGATTATGGGACACAAGTAAATGTTGAGAGGACCGACTTCATTGCCCTGAGTTTTCCCATATGGCTTGGCCTCTCTGTAGAAAAGCTAGCTGCCTGCCGAGAGCATTCCACAAAGCAGGAAATCCATAGCGGCAGCAATAATCATCAGGAATCTCCGTAAAATTTCATTTGTGACCTAAACAATACAATACATCCATGAAATGAACTCACAGCTGTGAAAGCACAAGGCTTATGGCTTCACCTTGGAGACCCCCCAAAGCGTACAAGTTGACCTCAAGATTTTTAGCTCTAAATTTAGGACTACACCTTCTGTTTTCATTTTATATTTAACATATTAAGTCCACCCTTACTTTTGGAAAATTTTTGGCTTGAAAACTCAACTTATGCACCACAGTTTATGGTATATACATTCCCACATCTGCATGAAGAGACATGTGCCTAAGAGTTAGCTCTGGGTTCAGTTACATTTTTTCTGCCCAGAAATAATATCTCAGATAAACAACACAAACATGTCTGGCAGCCTTCTTTTACAGTCATCAGTTTTTCTACGCTTCTGACATGGGTCACAGACAGGATGATGTCCTCGAGGTCTTCACTGATGTCCCATAATTGTCTCTGTTCTGACATGGGTCACAGACAGGATGATGTCCTCGAGGTCTTCACTGATGTCCCATAATTGTCTCTGTTCTGACATGGGTCACAGACAGGATGATGTCCTCGAGGTCTTCACTGATGTCCCATAATTGTCTCTGTTCTGACATGGGTCACAGACAGGATGATGTCCTCGAGGTCTTCACTGATGTCCCATAATTGTCTCTGTTCTGACATGGGTCACAGACAGGATGATGTCCTCGAGGTCTTCACTGATGTCCCATAATTGTCTCTGTTCTGACATGGGTCACAGACAGGATGATGTCCTCGAGGTCTTCACAGATGTCCCATAATTATCTTGCAGAGTTGCTCTTGTGGGCCTGATTTCTTATCTTTGAAGTGAAACATGTGGACAGTCATGTAAGACGGACTCTAGTTGCTTGGTGCTTCATATCTGCATGTGGCAGTCAGTAAGGTCTGGATGGTGAAAGTGTGCTCTTAGTTTACCAGTTTCCATGCTCAGTCTGAAAGCAGCTCACGTATTGATAGTCACAGACTCAGTGAGCATTCTTAAGAAGTTCTAAACTGCAACAACAACTGGCTGACTGCAACTAGAATGGGTTGAATGCATTCAGAAGTTGTGCTCCAAAAAACTATCTTGATTATACACACAGTGTTGAAAGGAAATCAAAGAGCTGCTTGTTTCTGCAGTGGTTGATGAATACAGAAGTGTAGACACGGCAGACACACTGAACGTGCTGCATTCTAGAGACTTTGAGATGAAGCAGTCAAGAAGTCAGAGACAAGGAACCACTTGTACGAAATGGGGACTGAACAAGGGCAAGCATGTAGAAACCAGTTGCAGGGCAGAAAAATAAGATATGGCAATCAAATCCTACTGGGTACATTGAGCATGGAGACGTTGAGATGGCTGTTGCCTCTGAAAGGCGGAGTACAGGTGGGATGGTCTAATGGGCAAGTAACAAGTCTGAAAATGCTGGTCTGTGTATTTCACCGAGTTTGTTATCTTGTCCATAGTATGTAATTACATTCCCTTCTCTATAATTGATGTTCATATACTGTTTGAGGAATACCTGTGATCAGTTCCCGGCTGACATAGTATCTAACAGAATAACCTTGTTGTTTGTGCTAGCAGAGTGGTTACAAGATATCTTATCCGTGACTTGTGTTTGTCAGATTTGAGTCATGGCTTGGACTGTAGCTGTTCACTTATTTCATCCTACATTATTAGAAGGGCAAGTGGCAGATTGGCACTTTTGCTAGTGGGAAGATAAATCAAGAATGAACAGTAGTCTGTGCTGTTGTGTACAGAAAGCAAGACACAAAGTATCAGAGATCACAGAAGTGACCATATTGAAGAAAACACTGATAATATTGTTTGGAGAGTTCTCTATGTGGCCTCTTCATTCAATGCATGTCAAGAAAAGAGCTCCATGAATGATCTGTTGTTGTTTTTTATATGACCACTACACATGACCAAACCATTTGACCACTAAATTCACTATGTTAAAAACAAACTGCTATTACTGCCTGTATTACTGCTTTTGTGATGTAAAAGGGGTGGGGAAAAGGGGGTGGGGGTATTTGAGCCTGAGGATTTGGGGCTAGTGTCGTCGCCACTGGCTGTGCAGGTTAGGGGATTATTTTTTGTTTTTGACAGAAAAAACCCCAAACTTACTGAGGATTTGAACTCAGATATCCCACTTGAGAGCCTAGCATTCTTAACCTTTCAACCAGTCACTCCTCATTATGTTTAAAAAAAAAATACGGATAGAATTATTAGGAAAGATCTTTACAGGAAAATGACTAAATAAGAGGGTAAAGAAAACAGGTGTCTCGTGCTTCAGTGGGTAGCAAGGAAATCCTGGGTGAACAGTTGAAGATAATTATGGCACTAAATGGTTTGTTTGTCATTGGTTTCTTCAACAACGCCAACAGGTGAGAGCAGGGGAATCTCTGATGAAACTGGTGTCAGATCTGAAGCAGTTCCTCATACTAAACGACTTCCCGTCCGTCAATGATTCCATCTCCTACAATGCCGGGATGTACAAGGAGTACCAGAGCAGCATCGACAAGAAGTTGATGAGCTTGCGAGATGAGATGGCAGCAGACTTGTATGAGATGGAAGAGGAGTATTACTCTTCCATGTATAAATGAGGCCTGCTCTGTCTGTATGAGATGGAAGAGGAGTATTACTCTTCCATGTATAAATGAGGCCTGCTCTGTCTGTATGAGATGGAAGAGGAGTATTACTCTTCCATGTATAAATGAGGCCTGCTCTGTCTGTATGAGATGGAAGAGGAGTATTACTCTTCCATCTATAAATGAGACCTGCTCTGTCTGTATGAGATGCAAGAGGAGTATTACTCTTCCATGTATAAATGAGGCATGCTCTGTCTGTATGAGATGAAAGAGGAGTATTACTCTTCAATGTATAAATGAGGCCTGCTCTGTCTGTATGAGATGGAAGAGGAGTATTACTCTTCCATCTATAAATGAGACCTGCTCTGTCTGTATGAGATGGAAGAGGAGTATTATTACTCTTCCATGTATAAATGAGACCTGCTCTGTCTGTATGAGATGGAAGAGGAGTATTACTCTTCCATCTATAAATGAGACCTGCCCTGTCTGTATGAGATGGAAGAGGAGTATTATTACTCTTCCATGTATAAATGAGGCCTGCTCTGTCTGTATGAGATGGAAGAGGAGTATTACTCTTCCATGTATAAATGAGGCGTGCTCTGTCTGTATGAGATGAAAGAGGAGTATTACTCTTTCATGTATAAATGAGGCCTACTCTGTCTGTATGAGATGGAAGAGGAGTATTACTCTTCCATGTATAAATGAGACCTGCTCTGTCTGTATGAGATGGAAGAGGAGTTTTACTCTTCCATGTATAAATGAGGCCTGCTGTGTAGGTATGAGATGGAAGAGGAGTTTTACTCTTCCATGTATAAACCTTCTCTGTATGAGATGGAGTATTGCACTTCCATGTATAAATGAGGTGTGCTCTGTATGTATGAGATGGAGGAGGATTATTACTCTTCCATGTATAAATGAGACCTGCTCTGTCTGTATGAGATGGAAGAGGAGTATTACTCTTCCATGTATAAATGAGGCATGCTCTGTCTGTATGAGATGGAAGAGGAGTTTTACTCTTCTATGTATAAATGAGGCCTGCTCTGTCTGTATGAGATGGAAGAGGAGTATTACTCTTCCATGTATAAATGAGACCTGCTCTGTCTGTATGAGATGGAAGAGGAGTATTACTCTTCTATGTATAAATGAGGCCTGCTCTGTATGAGATGGAAGAGGAGTATTACTCTTCTGTGTGTAAATGAGGCCTGCTGTGTAAGTATGAGATGGAGGAGGAGTATTACTCTTTCATGTATAAATGAGGCCTGCTGTGTAAGTATGAGATGCAAGAGGAGTATTACTCTTCCATGTATAAATGAGGCCTGCTCTGTCTGTATGAGATGGAAGAGGAGTATTACTCTTCCATCTATAAATGAGACCTGCCCTGTCTGTATGAGATGGAAGAGGAGTATTATTACTCTTCCATGTATAAATGAGGCCTGCTCTGTCTGTATGAGATGGAAGAGGAGTATTACTCTTCCATGTATAAATGAGGCGTGCTCTGTCTGTATGAGATGAAAGAGGAGTATTACTCTTTCATGTATAAATGAGGCCTACTCTGTCTGTATGAGATGGAAGAGGAGTATTACTCTTCCATGTATAAATGAGACCTGCTCTGTCTGTATGAGATGGAAGAGGAGTTTTACTCTTCCATGTATAAATGAGGCCTGCTGTGTAGGTATGAGATGGAAGAGGAGTTTTACTCTTCCATGTATAAACCTTCTCTGTATGAGATGGAGTATTGCACTTCCATGTATAAATGAGGTGTGCTCTGTATGTATGAGATGGAGGAGGATTATTACTCTTCCATGTATAAATGAGACCTGCTCTGTCTGTATGAGATGGAAGAGGAGTATTACTCTTCCATGTATAAATGAGGCATGCTCTGTCTGTATGAGATGGAAGAGGAGTTTTACTCTTCCATGTATAAATGAGGCCTGCTCTGTCTGTATGAGATGGAAGAGGAGTATTACTCTTCCATGTATAAATGAGACCTGCTCTGTCTGTATGAGATGGAAGAGGAGTATTACTCTTCTATGTATAAATGAGGCCTGCTCTGTATGAGATGGAAGAGGAGTATTACTCTTCTGTGTGTAAATGAGGCCTGCTGTGTAAGTATGAGATGGAGGAGGAGTATTACTCTTTCATGTATAAATGAGGCCTGCTGTGTAAGTATGAGATGCAAGAGGAGTATTACTCTTCCATGTATAAATGAGGCCTGCTCTGTCTGTATGAGATGGAAGAGGAGTATTACTCTTCCATGTATAAATGAGACCTGCTCTGTCTGTATGAGATGGAAGAGGAGTATTACTCTTCCATGTATAAATGAGGCATGCTCTGTCTGTATGAGATGGAAGAGGAGTTTTACTCTTCCATGTATAAATGAGACCTGCTCTGTCTGTATGAGATGGAAGAGGATTATTATTACTCTTCCATGTATAAATGAGACCTGCTCTGTCTGTATGAGATGGAAGAGGAGTATTACTCTTCCATGTATAAATGAGACCTGCTCTGTCTGTATGAGATGGAAGAGGAGTATTACTCTTCCATCTATAAATGAGACCTACTCTGTCTGTATGAGATGCAAGAGGAGTATTACTCTTCTATGTATAAATGAGGCATGCTCTGTCTGTATGAGATGGAAGAGGAGTATTACTCTTCCATGTATAAATGAGGCATGCTCTGTCTGTATGAGATGGAAGAGGAGTATTACTCTTCTATGTATAAATGAGGCATGCTCTGTCTGTATGAGATGCAAGTGGAGTATTACTCTTCCATGTATAAATGAGGCCTACTCTGTCTGTATGAGAAGGAAGAGGAGTATTACTCTTCCATGTATAAATGAGACCTGCTCTGTCTGTATGAGATGGAAGAGGAGTATTACTCTTCCATGTATAAATGAGGCCTGCTCTGTCTGGGAAGTCTCTACATGTGCTTGAGTGTATGCCTGCCTACAGGCTAGATTACTTTTATCTTCATTCTAGAGCAGAAAGAAAATAAAATATAGTATGTACAGTCATGCATGGATTGCTTTTCATTCAAATTAAGATGTAAATATGAATAAAATGTTATTGGATCATTTACTGTTTCTGTTGTTTCTTTAACCACATGTAGTTTATTGTGAATGAATATATCAAGCTAAACAAATATTTGTTGTTAGTATAATGAAAAGAATTTAAAGTCGTAATGTGAATTACAAGAAGGACATGCAGGTTTCAAAACTGAAAGCATATCTTTAATATGAGATTATTTTATGAGAATAGGAAGTTTCTGTGGTGAATGGCTAGTTACTTACCTGTGGATCCGAAGGTCATGGGTTCGTGTTCTGACAGAGGCAGACTTCTCTCAAAAATTACCTTGGCTCTCAGGTCAACGCAGCTTTGAGTGGGTACGAGGTGCTGTTCTGGGAAGTAAAGGCTGCCGGCGTGATGCTGACCGCATCACCCACCAAGTCCCTATTGCTGTGTAAAACATAGCCCTATATGCCTGAATGCAAGGCAAGGAGTTTTCTATGAGAGGGCTTTATTTTGAGAAATGCAGAGTATAAGGAAAATCAGTTATTTCACAAACTACAGTAAGACAGTTGTCAGCCTCATCATCATCATCATCATGTGCCCTGCCAAGTGGCGTAGGCGCTAAAGAGTCTCCACAGATCACGATCCCTGGTTGCCTGGAACAGCGTAAATGATCAAAAGCTAAATGTGGTCGACAGATTCACTTATCTTGGCAGTACCCTATCTCAGAGAGTAAATATCAAAGATGAGATCCATGTTAGAATCTCAAAGGCCAGCAGCAGTTTCGGCAGACTTGATACCAGTGTCTGGAACAGAAGTGGTTTCTCCCTGCGGACCAAGCTAAAGGTTTACAGAGCTGTAATTCTTTCAGTACTGCTCTACGCTTGTAAAACTTGGACTGTGTATCAGCGCCGTGCTAAAATGTTGAATCAGTTTCAGATAACCTGTCTCAGAAAGCTGCTCAAAATCAAATGGCAAGATCAAATACTGTGGTTCTTGATAGGGCAAACCTGCCTAGCATTCACAGGATACTGAAGAATTGTCAGATGCGTTGGGCTGGTCACCTAGCTCACATGCCAGAGTATTTTATGGCGAGCTCCAGCAAGGGAAGAGGTCCCTGGGAGGACAGAAAAAGCACTTTAAGGACACTGAAGACCGCTCTCAATTCTTTTAGCATCAACACAGCGACGTGGGAGGCTGCTGCACAAGACCAAGACCAAGCTGGATGTCGTACATTCCTCAGGTATGGTGCATCAGTCTGCCAGGCAGCAGAGGTTCCACAGGCAGTGAAACGGAGGCAGACTAGAAAGAATTGTACTGCTAATCCCACACCTACTGCAGTTTCCATTTGTTGTTCGCACTGCTCAAAAACTTTCCTGCCTATTGGACTAATCAGCCACCTTCGTACTCATAATCATGGGTCATTACTACTTTGGATAAAAGTGGCCTTCATCACTCATGATGGACGAACAACAACATATATATATATATTTATATATGTGTATATGCAACTTAATTTTACAATTGAATAATTCTGAATCCATATTTTGTTGAAACGTACAAACTGATGTTGTCTTTAAACTGCAATCTCAATTTCTTTCTGTCTGTCTGTGTGTGTAGGTATATGCCTGCACACACACAGACATGCATACACACACACACACACACACACACAGATATGCAGAGAAAATGTAAAGATGGGAAAACGACAATAAAATAAAATGAATAAAAAACGCAACACACTGGCATTGTCAGTAAAGAGGTTTTAATAAATCTGTCAGCAAATTTATTTGAACAAATCTGTCAGCAAATATGTTTTAATTAATTTCAAATGTTTAAATAAATATGTCTGTAAGTATCTTTGGATACATCTGTCAGTAAATGTTTTAATTAATTTAAAATGTTTAAATAAATCTGTCAGAAAATATGTTTGAATAAATCTGTCAGTAAATATATTTTAAAAGATCTGTCAGAAAATATGTTTGAATAAATCTGTCAGTGAATTTGTTTGAATAAATCTGTCAGTAAATTTGTTTCAATAAATCTGTCAGTAAATTTGTTTAAATAAATGTCAGTAAATTTGTTTGAATAAATCTGTCAGTAAGTATGTTTGAATACATCTGTCAGAAATAAGTTTTGAATAGATCTGTCAGCAAATATGCTTTAATTAATCTGTCAGAAAATGTTTGAATAAATCTGTCAGTAAATTTGTTTGAATAAGTCTGTCAGTAAATTTGTTTAAATAAATCTGTCAGTACATTTTTTGAATAAATCTGTCAGTAAATTTGTTTGAATAAATCTGTCAGTAAATTTAATTAAATAAATCTGTCAGTAAATTTATTAGAATTAATCTGTCAGTAAATATGTTTGAATAAATCCGTCAGAAATAAGTTTTGAATAAATCTGTCAGCAAATATGCTTTAATTAACCTGTCAAAAAATGTTTGAATAAATCTGATAGTATATTTTTAAATATATTTGTGAGAAATATTTCACAGCTCAGTCTTGCTCGCTGAAGCTACTGGGAGGTTTTTTTAATGGAAACTTTAGTTATCTAAATGTGTATATATATTTAAAAAAAAAACAGTAAACTTTGTGACTTCAACAGTTATGTATCCTGTATATTATTGAAAATGATATGGTGAACCAAACATATATGTTTTTGTGTGTGTTAAAGTTACGCTGTGTATCCTTCACAAGCCATTGCAAAGCCCCAGCATTTGTTTGGTTGTTGTGGTTTTTCTAGGCAAACTATAGGTTCAGTAGTTTGCCATTGCTTCCTGAATGGTCAACTCTCGGTACCACTGTCAAAACCAAGGCAAGACAAACCATCCGAAGCTGGGATCGAACCTGGCACCCTGACATGAAGCTTGTTCGCAACGCCTAAGCTACAGACGCATATATATGTTTGTACAAGTATAATTTTGCCAGACAGATGTTATATCTTATTCTATATTAGTAATTTTAGAAAAACAACATAGTATAAAAGATCCTCTTCCACACCTTTAGGTGTGTTGGGCATATAGGGCTAGACCTATATTTGATAGACCAATGGACACTTGATGGGTGATGTGGTCCGCATCATGCCAGCCGCCTTTACTTCCAGGACTGTACCTGGTAGCCTTCTAAGACCGGATGAAACAGGCAGCCAAGGTCATTTTTGCATAGAAAATTCAGGTCCATCGGGACTTGAACCCATGACCCTCAAATCTGCAGGGTGAGCATCTAGCAACTACACCACGGTGGCTCCTCCAAGTGGTATAAAATGACAGACATTATATGGTATGTAGAAAAGTGTAATAAGGCACATACAGGTATCTGCAATAGTATGTTTTGGAAAATATACACGAGGGATATATTTCATCATGGCACAAAACTGAGCAGCATATGAATCTGTATTCCGAGTGCTGATCATTGCCCATATATATGTGTGTGTGTGTGTGTATGTATGAGAGAAAGTCAATAGGTTTTTTTTTGATGTCCCACTTTGGTTGTTGCCAGGAACCCTAATACTGTATAAACCAACCTATGGGTTGAACAGGGTCTCTGGGACCTCTCCATGGGTAATCCTTATCTGAATGGTGGCACTTTGTGTCACCAGGTGTTTATCGCTCAGTGTGATCTACTGGTGCGGTGAAGCGCCATTCAGTCTGACAGCAACATCGAACTTTATGTCTCCATTCATTAGGTGGCACTAGTCTTTCAGGCGCATTTGCAACACAGAAACAAAATGGTGATTGTACTTGCGGAGTGTACCCTGTGCAGCTGGTGCAGGAGATGATTAGAGGTGACAGGCAAGTAATGGTTGACTCTGTAGCAGCTGCAATAGGGTGCTCACATGGTTCAGCATACAACATAATGCATGGTCAATTGAAATTAAGGAAAGTGTGCTTAAGGTGAGTGCCCAGAAAATTGACAGACGAACACAAAACCGATTAGGCCTATCCTTGCAGAATCTCTGTCGATACGCAGATGAAGGAGAAGACATGCTGAACAGGATTATTACTGGGGATAAATAATGACTGCATCACTACTAGCCCGAATCAAAGCCTGCTTCAGTGCAGTGGAAACATCCTTCTTCGCCTTGTGTTCAAAAATTCAAGGTTTCGCCATCAGCAGGGGAGGTTATGCTGACAGTGTTCTGGCATTTTCAAGGGGTGCTTTTAACTAATCTAAAAAATAGTAAAGGTGACAAAGTGAATGCTAAGTCTTACTGTAAAGTTCTATCGTTGCTTCATGACACAATTCGAAGAAAACGTCCAGGTCTACTGACTAGAAGAGTACTTCTCCTTTGTGACAATGCCAGACCACATATGGCTTGGTTAACTCAGGAGAAAATTACCCATTTAGGGTGGGAACTTCTTGACAATTCACCTTGCAGACCTTACTTAACCCCTAGCGATTTCCACTTTTTTGGTCCACTGAAAACCTACCTTGGCAGGAGACATTTTGCGAATGACACAGAAGTTGAATGCGAAGCGAAAATGTGGTTTAGAAAACAGAGCACACAGTTCTTTGCAGCAGGTTTGGGAGGACTGATAAAACGATAGGACAAGTGCATCAATGTTGTAGGAAATTGTGTTGAAAAAAAAAAGGGAGTGTATGTGTATTTTTGTTTTAAACAACCATTTGTGACATACTTACTGACTTTCCCTCATATATGTATGTGTATACACAAATACATATTTTTACACACACACACACATAATACTAACAAGTGTATGGAAGCCCAAATAGATAACTACCACTATTGTAACCTGGAAGCTTAAATGGTTATACATACACTCAGAAACAGTATATAAACTATGGAAGCTCAATTGATCATATTCATGGTTAATGCAAGTTGTATGTTATAAACCAGATTGTAGAGTTGTTTTGAATAACCAGAAAGTGCCTTATAGTGTCATGGCTGTACTAGGGATCACAACTGAGACAAATGGTGTATCTTAAACATTTGCATGGAGTAGTCATATAAACAATGTGTATATAAACAAACTGTCAATGCAGAAAATACAAATCGTCAAAATTGTAAAAGGTTAACTAAATAAAATAAAATCGCCTCAAACCTATTCTTTGTCAGTTCACCATAAATAGATCAGTGTAAACACTGAATTCCATTGGCGGAGTCAATACAATCTCACCTCAGGAAACACACACATGAACAACAGGGACAAACACTTCTCACCTGATGAAACACACACTGAACAACCAAGACAAATACTTCTCACTTCAGGAAACACACACATGAACAACAGGGACAAACACTTCTCACCTGATGAAACACACACATGAACAACCGGGACAAACACTTCTCACCTGATGAAACACACACATGAACAACAGGGACAAACACTTCTCACCTGATGAAACACACACATGAACAACAGGGACAAACACTTCTCACCTGATGAAACACACACATGAACAACAGGGACAAACACTTCTCACCTCAGGAAACACACACATGAACAACCGGGACAAACACTTCTCACCTGATGAAACACACACATGAACAACAGGGACAAACACTTCTCACCTCAGGAAACACACACATGAACAACCGGGACAAACACTTCTCATTCTTTCAGCTGAACCCATGTGAGACTTGTTTTAGCATGCGCAGACTAAAAAGCATTAAGAACATAGAGCACAGCAAGCCAGATCAAGTAACCATTTTGAGATCATCCATCTTTCCCAAGACAACTTACAAATGTGATTCATGGAATCTCACTCAGAATTTGAAGAAAACATCAGAGCTTCTCAACTGAAATACTACAGAAATTTTTTTTAGAATACTGTGGGCTAAGAAGAAGAAAAACGTTGACATCTTGCATGGCCTCAACATCAAGGAGAACTGGCTCATAAACAGCATACTCTACCAAAAGTTGAGGTATTTTGAACACGTCAACCGCCATGGTGGTCTGGAGAGAACAGTGATGGAGAGAGCAGTTTGAGGACAATGAGGCAGGGGCAGACCTCCACAAAGATGGATACAAGACAGTGAAGATGCATTGGCTATGAAAGCACATAGGGCTGGAGAACTAGCTAGAGAAAGAAAGACTTTCTGGCATGTGGTGAAGAGAGCGAGGTTCTGTAAAGGATTAATTGATTGACTGAACCTGTATGAGCAGCAGAAACATTCATGGATTATTTCAGCCACCATCAACTTGCACGAGACCAATAAAGTGATACAGCCATACCCTCAGCAACTCATGACTGTAGGATCGACAGCGTGGTAAAGCATTCAGAAACGCAGCATGCACACTCAGATAAGCAAATGCTCAATGAGACAATGTTACAGTAAGCCTCACAGGATAGTCGCTACGTCTGTTTTCATCTTGATTGATCATCCTTGATTTTCTTCTTCTTTGATTCAATTTTCACTTTATCTGGATTCTTGCCCGTCTGATGCGAGTGTTTCTTCGATTTTGATGATCTTTGCTCTGAGGAGCCCACTGTCCATTTTCGCAACATCTCCTGGCAGCTCTCTTCCACCTCGCCCTCAAACCGGAATGGCCGGCTAGGAAGTGCTCCATGAAGAGCTGGAGCCTAAGTAGGTCTGGGCTGGCTCGTTTGAGACTGACCACTGCCCAGTCGTACCAAAGCTTCTTCAACAGGTCCCATGATTTCCTGTGACGAGACATAGGGTAATATCAAAGGTTAGACATACATGGAATATAAAAACCTGGCGTGTCCATGTTCACTGCCTTGATATACAATACAGGGTTTTGCCTCTTTGGCTGTCTGCATATTTTGGGACACCCTGTATGTGTGTGTGTGTTGTGTGTGTATGTATGTATATATATATATATATATATATATATATATATATATATATATATATATATATATATATATATATATATATATATATATATATATATATATATATATATATATATATGTGTGTGTGTGTGTGTGTGTGTGTGCATTATGTATGTATGTATGTATGTATGTATGTATGCATACATACACACACACACACACATTTATATATATATATGGATATATACACACACAAACACATGTCTCTTGGAGTTATGGTTCATCAAATGGTTAAAACTGAATTAAGAATTGACATCACAGCAAGCGAGTTCTAATTCCACTGATACAAGTAAACAGTCTGATTGTATATCCGTCTCACCTTTCCCTTAAGTGTTGATCACTAGCCAGATCCCCAGGTCACTGCTTGCAGCGCCATTCTCCCCAGACCGTGTTCATACATCTGTGCCTCTATACTGTTCACTCACCCCCTAAAGGACCCCTACAACATCTAACTTGTCACGCATCATTTCACCAACAAGTTGTGCACAACCAGCCAGTCCTTCTGACTGTTTATTTCCTAACATACCAGCTTACCTTGGAAAAAATTCCAAAGGACACTAACTACTGGGACCTCAGAAGTGATGCTTGCCACTCTGCACGGAGCATACTAGTCTCTATCGTTCTCAACTTCCTCTGTGAGTCAGTTACAATTACAACATGTGTGTACCGCTGATTCTCAAGCCAGCGGGAGGCTGCAGTTACTGCCTCCATCTCCATTCTCAAACTAGGTGTTGTGGTGTCATTTGTGTCTTTGTTGCACTAAGTTACATTTATTTGCTTTTGCTATGAACCCCCATGCACTTCGTCTGCCCCTCAATACAGAGCCATCTATATAGATAAGCACATCACCTGCGTGAGAATTGTCATGAATCATTTGCTGGCCAGTTCCTGCACTCATAGCATAATGTGATCAGAACCCTACACAAGTCTGACTTTTGCTAGTACATTATGACCCACTCCTCTAAATGGTAAACTGAATCAAATACCCAACTGCTCAGGATTGCAAGGTCAAGGACCTGTATAGCCGTGAAGTCGGAGAAAACTGTGAGGGTTCAGAAGGAACCTGAACCCTGGTCCTCAAACTTTGCATGATCTGAGGAGGAGGTCAACCATGATTGAAGATTACAACCAGCTAACTCCATGAAGTTTAGCCAGTGCAGAAAGCCAGTTGACTGTCAGGAGTCTGGGGTAGTGGATGTGTTTATCACTGTTGAGGTGATTTTATTTGGATTTGGCAGACGGATGGAAGTATCAGTACTAGCCTGGATGTTGACAGGTAGAACTGTGGTACTGATGTCATCACCAGGGACAAATGAGGCAAGAGCCTTTATGTTCTGAGGAAATTGCCTGCAGAACTGGGAGTTGTCTAAGTGATGATACCATGATGGGGAATCAGGAGACACCAGGAGTTTGAGACACTAGACAGCAGACAGGTGTCTGGAGTTTTAGTTCTCCACCAAGGTATTGGGCATCTACCTGTAGTCCTCAGGAGACAGGGTCTTGAGATAGAGTACAGTCCTAGGACAGTATCTGATCCATCCTGAGAGGATAGTAACAGTTGAGTGAAGAGCGTTGGAGGTGGAAGCACTCGTGAGAAACTGGTCTAGAGCACAGTCGAGAGTGCAGTCGAAGGAAGAGAAGTCCAGTTGGCAGAGAGAGCTGGACTACTTTGAAGAAGAAGCTGTCTTGGGTGATGACACACGTGTGGCGGTCGTGATAACTAGTGAAACAAGATAGCAGAGATGTCAGCGACAGCTATGTGCTGAAGAGGACTGGGAGTTTTGCGGGTCATCGTGGTTCCTTCGACCAGGTTGATGTGCTACGTGCACATTCTGTAGATCAAGCATTGTTAAGTTTTCCAGTCAGCCGATGTGACAGTGTCTACACAGTGTCTGCTACACATAAAGCAAAGGAGGTCAATTTGAGTAGGAGATGTAACCTGTTCATCCTTACAGTGAGCCCTTAAGTGAGGGTAGCAAGAGACCTAGGCACTGTAGCGGTCAGCTCATTGTGTAGTGGCAGCTAGTTTAGGCTGTCCGAGAGAGCACAACTAAACCAGTTTGAGTGAGCGAAGCGTGGGACATTCATTTCATGATTAGCCAGTGATGTGTATGATTAGTTCGCTTGCATTATTCTGTGTGCTGGTTTGTATATTCCACAATCGCTGTTGTGAAGTAAAATGTGCATATATGGCAGCAACACATCATTGAGTTTCCCGGAGATTTTGTGCGTGAGTTGGGTACAACAGTTTGGAGTTTGAATCACATCCAGGAAACAGGTTGTGTGCTGTCTTCCTAATTAAGCACACAACAAACACCTCCTATACTTGATTTGGTTCCACAGGCACATATTAAGGAAACATTATTTTTTTAAACAGACCCTGGAACATAACAAAATTGAAAAGTTGTAACTTCCGAAACTTGTATCATTAACCAATAAAACAAAACAAAGCATTAAATAAAAAAGCAGAAAGTTTGGAGACTTCTACAGGACAACACTACAAACAATGAAAGTAACCGATACCCTGTTGTGTTTGTGACGTTTGCTAACTTCGGACAGAATCAAATTACCAATCAACGAGGCCTGCATCTCTGAACATATGTCATCTGAGAATGATTAAAAACTCACACAGTTAAACCAGAACACACACACAAACACACACAAGCATGCAGGCACACATGCACACACACATTCACAAATATTTATGGAGATGTAAAGTTTACACTGGCAGCTATCCTGATAAACAGTTAGTTCCAGAAGTAGGTTTAGCCTGTATGTTGGTTGAGAAACAATAACGGTAACAGAAATATAACAATTATTTAGTTAAAACTGATTGGTAGTATGATTTATGTATGAATATATTAGGAAACGAGAACAATCTGTAACTGAAATAGAAAACTGCGGTCTCTAATAAACTGGCAAGACTCTGTGCTAGAGAGAGGAGGAACTTCATCATTGGCCTTAGTTGCTGTTGCCTTGTAGCAGTTTTCTTCTTCTTCTTCTTCTTCTTCTTCTTCTTCTCACACAAAGCTATCTGAAGAGTGTTCATTACTTCCTCATCTTCTACTAATACTATCCTCACCTACCTCAGATCTATCTCCCACAAGAAAATAAATAATCTGTTATCATCATTTTCTATTACCATCAATACTGTGAACAACTGGCATGTGGGCTTATAAATAATGAAAACAACACCTCAAAGTATGTGTGTGTGTGCGTATGTATCTTTGTTTGTAAGTATATATGTCATGTGCGTGCGTGTGTGTGTATGTATCTTTGTTTGTAAGCATATATGTCACGTGCGTGCGTGTGTGTGTATGTATCTTTGTTTGTAAGCATATATGTCACGTGCGTGCGTGTGTGTATGTATCTTTGTTTGTAAGCATATATGTCACGTGTGTGTATGTATCTTTGTTTGTAAGCATATATGTCACGTGCGTGCGTGTGTGTGTATGTATCTTTGTTTGTAAGTATATATGTCACGTGCGTGCGTATGTATCTTTGTTTGTAAGTATATATGTCACGTGCATGCGTGTGTGTATCTTTGTTTGTAAGTATATATGTCACTTGTGTGTGTGTGTGCATATGTATCTTTGTTTGTAAGTATATATGTCATGTGCGTGCGTGTGTGTGTGTATGTATCTTTGTTTGTATGTGTATATGTCACGTGCGTGCGTGTGTGTGTATGTGTCTTTGTTTGTATGTATATATATATGTCACGTGTGTGCGTATGTATCTTTGTTTGTAAGTATATATGTCACGTGCGTGCGTATGTATCTTTGTTTGTAAGTATATATGTCACGTGCGTGTGTGTGTGCGTATGTATCTTTGTTTGTAAGTATATATGTCACGTGCGTGCGTGTGTGCGTATGTATCTTTGTTTGTAAGTATATATGTCACGTGCGTGCATGTGTATGTATGTATCTTTGTTTGTAAGTATATATGTCACGTGCATGCGTGTGTGTGTACGTATCTTTGTTTGTAAGTATATATGTCACGTGCGTGCGTGTGTGTGTACGTATCTTTGTTTGTAAGTATTTATGTCACGTGCATGCGTGTGTGTGTATGTATCTTTGTTTGTAAGTATATATGTCACGTGTGTGTGTGTGTATCTTTGTTTGTAAGTATATATGTCATGTGCGTGCGTGTGTGCGTGCGTGAACAGGAACACATGCATTTTTTTAAAAGTATAATATAAACAAAAAGTTTCTAATACATGCATTGTTTTAAAAGTATAGTGAACAGATAGTTTCTGATACATGCATAATTTCAAAAGTAGAATGAACATATAGTTTCTGATACATGCATTGTTCTAAAAGTATTAGAAAATTTCACATCTAAAGGTGAGATTCATGCACACAACCTCTAGACCAGCAGGTCAGCTAGCAAGCGACTGTGATGCTCCATCCATCATGTAGCAGGTCCCTTTGCAGAACGTCACTCTCATCACGGTCTGCCTGAAAGAAACTCGGTCTATCGCCAGCTCTCCCACCTCATGTACTTTCATACTCAAAGAGTCACATCTTCGTGTCGGTCGGCCCCTGCCCCTCCTTCATGCCTTCTGCTATAATTTTTTCCAATCCGTCGTGGCGCTTGACATTACCAAAATATTTCAGCTTCCAAGACAGGATGCTGTTTATTAGCCAATCTTCCTTAATGTTAAGATCTTTCAAGATGTCAGTATATCTCCTCTTTTTTGTCAAAGATATTCTGAGAATCTTTCTATAGCATTTCAGCTCAAAAGCCCCTATACTGTGATGCTACAGCTCCAAATTATATACACATGTGTGTGTTTGTGTGTGCACGCGCGCACGTATGAGTGTGTGTTAGAATAACATTTTACAGAAAATTTAAAAGCTGCTGTTAGTAGGAATATGCAAAAACTATATATATATATATATATATACACACTATTACCTAAACAAATATTAGTAGGGAAAAGGTAGATCGTTAATATACAAGCAATTTAAAAACTGGCATTAAAAAGAATTTGGAAGTTCTAAAGCCACATCTACAAGATACAGACATTAGCAAAAAAACAACTGGGGTTAAATGATACCTTATTCTCTGCATAGGTTGTGGAAAATGTCTAGTAGTTGTGTTGTCACACTACTTGCCTGCAGTTCCAGGCAAATATCATCTAAAATGACAGCAAAATTGAATGAATTACAGATGATCTCAGAATGGCTAAATGAAATTGGAGGGCACTTCTGGAATACATGCCTCAGAATTCTCAAAGAACAGAAATGGTACCTCAAATACATCCTTCACAAATGACCCTGTAGCACTAGAGATCTTTCCACAAGGGACTGTGATAAACATTCTGTGTGTTTTTAGTTGGCACAGGAGTGGAGCAAAGATGGAGTGACTCGTTTGCTATGAAGCTGAAACTAAGATTACCGGAGATCTTAAACACATCCTTAAGAACTGGCCAAGTGACACTCTAGGAATGACATTGTGAATCAAGATGACAACCTGAAAACACCCATCAATATTGACTTAAGTAACAATGAAGATGACAAATTCAATGGATCCATTAGGGATGCACATGTGAAACCTGAGACAGTATCTTGAAAACATTCTTCTTGAATGCCAGATGAACAGAGAATTGCAGATGCAGCTAGATGATTTCAGAGGATGAGAAATGACAGAGATGAAGCCACGTTACTATCTTTTGGACCAACAAGTACAGCGGGCTTTATTCAAGTGACCAACCATCAGATATAGAACGTCATGAACGCAGGAAAGAAACTACAGTTCAGTTTGTCTTCTTGTTTAACTCTTTGAGTCCCAGAGGGTTTAGCATCACAGGCCCAAGGGGTAGTCATAAGAGACGTAAAATCGGTGCAATATGCGTTCATTGGACTTCTATGCAGTAACCTATGAACGTATGATGCGTTCCTTGGGACTCAAAGAGTTAAATTTAACACACAAAAACTCACCATAGTTCGACAGTTCCAGCAGCAACCGAACAATGGACTCCACCACATTGGAGTTGTCTTTGTGAAGTCTGTATGCCTCCATCACTGTTGGAATTCCAGTAGGGGTACTTGTGTCTTCTTTAGCACTTGACAGAAACTCGTAGGCGCATTCCTCTGTGTTCAGTACAAAATCTTTAACCCTTTCACTCCATAAGAATCTCAATAAACTGATTTTACAATTTTTTTTTAAACTGAATTTAAAAAAATGCATTCTTATAATTCTATGAAATTCTGTCCCAAGAAACAAGAAGAAGAAAAGAAAAGGTAAAAGAAATCTGGAGTCTTCAACAGCTTACATAAATATCCAGACGGCCAAAGCTCTAAACCACAGAAAATACAGGCAGACATGAAGTACTCTGCTTCTTTCATGACGACATATCATGAAATTCATTTTTACAGATTTTTCCCAGTCGCTAAATGTCAAAACTGCTTGAAGGGAAGTAAACATTACATACTGACGGAAACAAAAACAAAATTTTACTTTCTCTTTTTCACCACGTTCACCGGCTGTAAACTCTGGCACAAAGTTCTAGCTGTTCATCCACTTCTGGACTTTTGCCTCAGATCTTGGGTTTTGCATGCACATACATTTTACAGAGCTGGCTTTTTTGTAACTGCAACTTCAGAGGGAATCCCTAATTATAAGATTTTTACAACAGGCTCATTAAGCAAGCAGTGGGTCTATTTTTTCCTCCTCACAACTAGGTCCTGCAAGCCTTGAACTGATTTACTTCCCTTTGACCATTTAAAGGTGACTTTGGTCAATGTGACACAGACAGCAATGTGACATAATTAATCAACTGTATAACATCAAAGTTTATCCACAATTTTTAAAAATCTATTTTTTCTTCCTCAAATAATACCTAAAACATATCTTTGCTGTTAAATATAATCGCACCCACCATATCTACACACAATACATTTGCAGTAGTATCAAAGCTGTCATACAGGCATACTGGGCACTGTCCAAAGACATAATGTCAACCAAATCCCATAAAAACTACACGAATGGCTTTCTCATGGTAAAAGGGTTAATGTTCAATCAGTCTTCCACTATTTTTTTTTTTCAATATTGGAATTTAGTAGTATATAGTTTTGCCTTTTCTACTACTGGATGTTGAGGTAATTCAGCAACGATAATTTTCCCTCCTTTGTTGTGTAGAAGTAATCTACAGTCTTGTTAATTAATGATATCCTAGATGTTGAGGTATTGTTCAGTTATTTCTTCAACTGTTCCTTGTGCTATCTTAGTACAGAGGTGCACAACAGTCAAGGTGAGTCACTTCATTCCTAGTACAGAGGTGCACAACAGTCATGTTGAGTCGCTTCATTTCTAGTACAGAGGTGCACAACAGTCAAGGTGAGTCACTTCATTCCTAGTACAGAGGTGCACAACAGTCAAGGTGAGTCACTTCATTCCTAGTACAGAGGTGCACAACAGTCATGGTGAGTCACTTCATTTCTAGTACAGAGGTGCACAACAGTCATGGTGAGTCA